AAAATTAACATTTGATATTGTTAATGGGCGGACGCCTAATCATGTGTTGGACCTAGTGCCATTACCTATGCCAGGCAAGATAAGTGATGATGCCAATGCTTTTGCTGAGCGTATTCGAGATTTGCAAGCCCAAATCAAGAAGAAAATTGAGGAGAGCAATGCAAAGTATCAAAAAGGCCCAAATGAGTATAGAAGAGAGAAGATTTTCAAGGAGGGTGACTTAGTAATGGTGTATTTGCGAAAAGAAAGGTTTCCGTTGGGAACCTATAATAAACTCAAGTCCAAGAAAGTGGGTCCTTGCCGCATCTTGAAGCAATATGGGAATAATACATAAGGTAGAATTACTAAAGGCATTGGATATCTCCTCGATATTTAATGTTGCTGACTTATTTGAGTTTCATGGAGAACCTCTAGAAGTCGCAGAAGATGTAGTTGATATGATGAAAAAATTGCCAAGGAAGAAAGATGATAAAATTGAGCAAGTTTTGAAGACTGAAAGCTTTCAAACTCGAAATCTTATTGCCAATTTCTAGTCAAATGGAATGGCAGACCATACTCTGATAGCACGTGGATTTCTGAGCCAGAGTTCAAAAGAGTGGATCCAGACTTATATCGCATATATACTGAAGCCAACTCACAGCAGTCGAGTTCCTTTCAACTGGGGGGGAATGATGCAGCCATGCCCCTTCGTGACTGGGCCAAAGAAGGGTCGCAGAACGTAAGAGGGAAAGAAAGGGCAATGACGTAATAATGGGTAGTTATTAGGGTTATTTATTAGGATTATTTTAATTATTCTTTTGTTTAGGGTATGCCCAAGGATAATTAACATGGTTATTTTGTGTTTATCTTATATCGATTGGATTAGTTTGAGGGATATAATTAGGATAAGGGTAAATTTAGAAGAGAGTATATCTTTATCAACAATAACCAACTTGGGAGGTCTTTTTTGGGTAAAATATGAAAGGGAAAACGTGGCTATCTAGAAGCCCGTGCATATGAGAGAGAGAAAATAGGGATAGGTGTAGAGAGAAGCTTTTTATTAGTTATCTTATTTTAGTCTATTTGAAGGGACATCTCCTTTCATTGTAAATCAGTCTATGAATTGAATAAAAATTGGTCTCTTGAAAGAGATTATTTTAGAAGTGGATTCCCTTGTAGACCTTTGAGAGAAGGTATTTTTCTCTTAACCTTCTTTCTTTTATTGTCAATTTTATGGTTTTATTCTCTCCCTACATCATACACTCTCTCTCATCTATTCCTCTTCTCTCCCCAATTCTCCACTCCTCTATCTTATCTCTCTCTTTTCCCCCAATTCCGCTCTCTCCTCTCCTCTCTCCCTAATTTCCCACTCTTACTTCTCTCCCCAAATCCTCTCTCTCTCTCTAGTTGTTGATTCTAACGAGAGTTTCAACGAGAGAGAGGGAGTTTTCAATGAGGGAGAGACAAGGAAGGGGGGTTTCAAGATAGGGAGAGGATGTTGAGAACGAGAGAATTTTGAGATAGGGAGAGCACTTCAAGAAAGGGAGAGATACGGCGAAGGAGAGAGGGAGGGACCAATGTTATCAAATTCGCTATGCATCAGCCAAAGAGACCGAAGCCTTTGGATTGTACGCATAAATCAAACCGAAGCGAAGCCTGGTGCTGCTGCTTTAATCAAATTTGGGCCGCTTTGGGCTACTCAGTCAGATTCGGGTTTGCTTCGGGAATGCTTTGGCCAACAAAGAAATAGCTATACAAAATTATTTTTAAAATTTTTTTTATTATTTGTATATATTTTATATATAAATATGTAATTTATTTATATTAATTTTTTTAAAAAAAATCTAAAATCTTTCCCCCCGAAACAATGAATTGCTTCATTTTTCTCACAAAACAGAAGAAGACTCTGAAACGAATCTAAACAACATTGGGAGAAATTGCAGCCAAACCTTTGCCACATGCCGAGAAAGCCTCTCCTTATATTTCATTAATATTAATAATTAGCTTTGTTTTTTTTTTGGTGGGAGGCTTTGGACACTGGGATCCATTGGATCTTATAAATTAAAAAAAAATAGCTGACATTTGGGTGGGGCCTATGGGTCGGACTAGGCCTAAGTCCAATCCAAAAAACAATTTCAGGCCATGTCACTAAGAGTTTTGGGACCAAGATCAGGTATGGCCCAAAACAGTATATTTTAGGCCAGCAAGAAAATATTTCGATTTTTTTCATGCCCAGGCACAACTCAGTGCCAGCCCTACTCAGAGAATAAAACCCCGCCATTTTTATGCCATCTCTAAAATGGAGGGGATGAAAATGTGATACCTTAAGAAACATTAATACGCATGTCCTGGGGTTTGACCATGGTCGAAACTTGACAGACACTGACTGTGTGTCGATACTCTTGAACATACACGACACTTTTATTAAGTGTCACTATTGTATCTTTTTTAGACATTTATTTTTTCAAAAAGCAATTTTTTTAGAAACTCCATTCTTCATTAAAGAGGATCCTATTTTTTAAAATAACAAGTATTTTAGAATAAAAAATAGAATAAATTTATTTGTTAAATTAGGGTTTCCACAAGCCATTGCTACTATGAATAAATAATATGATTTATTTCAACTACTATGAAAACTTTCTAAAGTTTCTCCCTTTCCAACTAATTTCTCTCTCCACAAGTCGTACACCACTAGTTTCTCCCTCTCCAAGCATGTTGACCGCTAATTTCTCCCTCTCCAAGTTGTGAACCACTAGATATAAAGTTCTTCTTAACTTCTCTCTTCATTATCATTGTGCCTTATAACATGTAAAATCTTTATTGTTCCATCTTTTTTGTCATTAATAGCATAAATTATATTGTACCTTGTCTTGGGTTAATAATTAATTTTTTCTAATTTTGAAAGTTTATATTTTAAATGAATGCATTAAGACTCTTTTTAATAGCCACACAATAAGGGTGCAACATTTTTAATTACTAATTACTTAATACTTCGTAGTTTTTTTCTATATTTTTATGATGTAACTTTGAATTGGTCAAAAAGAAAATTTGATGAATGAAATCTAGATTCATAACATAACCGTTTTTTGCCTTTTGATTTAATTATTTTTACGTTTGGGATGTTTTTCTATTGTTACATGACATGAATTCTTCATTAATAGCATCAATTGTATTGTATTTTGCCTTGTGTTAGCAATTGATTTTTACTAGTTTTGAAAGCATACATTTTAGATGAATGCATTAAGACTCTGTTCAATAGCCACACAATAGGGTTGATACATTTTCAGTTACTAATTAGCTAATACTTTATAGTTTTTCCCCATGTTGCTACGATGCAACTTTGAATTGATCTATAAGAAATTTTGATGAATAAAATTCACAATATAACTTTTTTTGGCCTATTAATTTAATCATATTTGTGTTTTTTATGCTTTATTATTGTTGCATGACATGAATTCTTGTATGTATAAATGAAAATGTAAACTACGTAGATTTTAATATTTATATATATATAAGGATATTCTAAACTTCACAACCCTTCAAATTACAAAAGTTCAAGTTAGAAGGGGTTGTGATGGGTATATTTATCAAAACAATCATTACTTTTTTATTAAAAAATTATGGATATAGGTAGTTTGTATAGGCTCCAAACAATCAATGGAAAGCACACCTTCAAATAGTGTTGAGAAATGTGATTCCAATATTAAAAATCTTTATGATAGCCTTAAAATATACTTTCATCTCTAGGTTTAAATTTAAAGCTTAAACAATAGTATAGATCAAACGGATCTATGAAAACTTGAAAATTTTGAAAATTGACAATCCAAAAATACATTACAATACACATTATTTCCAAAACTTGAAATTCATTTTTTTCTCATATCAATACATTTTGAGATCAAGATGATCAATTTGAACATACTTGGATATCAAAACCACCTCTTTTAGTGAAATTTTTTATGTGCACCCTAATTTGATTGTTTAGAGCCTTGCATTCATATAAAATTTTCCTTTATATAGATACTGATATATTGTACGACATATCGTGTCTAGATATTTTTTTGAGTTCATGTTTCCAACACTAATATCCATGTCATCAACAAAGACCCTTGTTCGTGTCTATATAACATAGAGGGCAATGATCTAATGCAACGGTTGTATCATATTATAATGCAACCACACTTCAAAAAAATCATGTTTGTGATGGTTGTATGACCCAAAATTTTGTACACACTATCACCTCAATAATCAATTCTAAAAAATAAAAAAATTCAATTTGTACCCAATATATGATCAAACACAAAATCAATTTTTTTTTGGGCGAATTTCAAAATCTTGACCTTCACAAATCCAAAATTATTATTATTTTTTATCTTTTAACGTTGTTCATCTAATGATAATAAACCATCTAAAAAAATTAGAAAAGAAAGAATCTTTCTAAGGCCTAAATTTAAACATCCTATCAAAATGGATAACCTATGTTAAATGGACAAAAAATATTTTCTAGATTGTGTTTTCATTTTTTTTTTTTTTTTTGTTCATTAGAACGAAAATAATATATATTTTAAAATTTGGAACAAATAAATTGTCTTAATATAGTTTTTGATGATTATTGCATTATATTACAATACAACCGTTCCATGAAATCATCAGGGGATACAATAATCTTTTAAATATACCATTAGGATTGAAATTGCATTTATGGAACCCCGTGTCACCCATATACCGCCTTAAGAAAATGGAACTGTGCCCGAAAAAAGAATACAAGGCCCAATTTTGACAAACATCAGGCCTCTCCTGCACTCGATACGAATTATGAATCGTTTTATCTTACATTCAAAACAGAAAGGAAAAAGAGCGTACGGCAGGCAGCCACACGGTGTCCGCCAGCTGCTCAACATCATATCATTCATCCTTCCAAGACGAGTAAAAACCACACTAACTCCTTTAGTGTAAGAAAATAGTACAATAGATTTTAAAGAGAGAGAGATAGAGGAAACCACATTAATAGACAACTTATAAAAGTAGAAAAACCATCATTGAATTGCACCTGAACATTAAGAGAGTGATTGCACTTCAACATCTGACAGAGAGATACGAATTATGAAGTCTTTTTATGTTACATTCAAAACAGAAAGGCAAAAGAGAGTAGTTCTAATGAAGCCCCCAAAGACCTGTTCTCACCTGAATACCATGAGCCCATGATTACAATCATGCATTCGTGCACAATCTCTACTATGCGCGCTACTTTAGGAACCTCCATCCAAAATCACAGTAAGTATGGAACCTCTTTACCCCTGCACGTATCATTCACTTGATGAAGTCAGCCTTTCCGTTTGAATCAAGGAAAACATTTCCAGTAACTAATATGGCCTACAAGCCAAACCATCTAGTAAATTCACTCCTAAGTAATGGCCAACGTGCCAAAACCCCTAAAAGGCTGTCAAAAACTATTTGGGTACATGTGAATAGATGAGACCCGATAAACGATAATAACTATTTGATGGATCTCCTGTAAAATACCAAGAACCCAAGAAAGCCTTAGTCGAACTATCCAAGCCTAGTGAGAATTTGAAGCACTGGCAGCAGCAGCAGCAGCTTCATCCAAGAAGCGTCTGACTTCAGTCTCCGGCCACGCAAGCACTGCAGGAACCTGCAAAAGGTAGCAAGCAATGAGAACCAAGATGGTGAGAGGATTTCTAAGATTGAAAGTGACCGCATCAAACCATTCCTTCAACATTTGCAGCAGTGAGAGAAGCCCCTTCTCTAACTAAGAGCGGCACCAGTTCCAAGTGCCCTCCAAGAGCCGCAAGGTGAAGAGGCTGGATGGACCGATCATCACACACAATCAATCAACACATAAGGTAAACTATTCACAAACACAATAACACATGATAGTTCCGGCATTCTCTCACAGTGTCACCATCTTTATCACCAGTGTTTAGTATCCTCTTGACAACCTCTGAGTATGGAACAGTATTTATCAAAAATTCAACAACTTCAGTGGATCCTGCAAGAGATCAAGCAGGCCATGAACTAAGTCGATGTTGGGAACTAGGAAGAACGAGAAATGTAATTTGATAGAGTCGGGGTTATGCCTCCTTTACAAGCACTATGAAGAGGAAACATCCTAAGTAAACCACTGGCCACCTCCAAGTTTGCTCCTCTCTCTAACAACAGCTGAGGGCCAAGCAAGTGTAGGGCTCTTTTCATTATACTGATTGAATAAACTATAAAAGACAGAAAATGTTGAAACATTCAACTGTAACCAACCTGGACACACGGCAAGAAACCAAGCATGCATGTCAAATGAAGGGCAGTATACCCACCCTCCAGAGGAACATCAATGCTGCCATCTAAATTATCTGCACCCATTAAGAAACTCATCACACATGCATAGGTTTTGTATAGATACAAACAGGGATCACGTAATTCTAAAAAGCACTAGGATAGTTATGAACAAGGATCACATAATGCAATTTAAATTTATTATTTGAACAAAGTACTGAGTTCTTATAAACCAACTAGAATATAAATTCACAACCAATTGCAGATTGGATATTTCAACGTTTGCATCCCAATAATAAGATGGGAGTTTCTAAGGAATTGTTAATATTTGGCCTGGAAACAGAATTCAGTAGCAATTCTAACAGCTAAAGATGTTGCACTTTAAATTATAAATATCTTTCTAACAAGATCCAACAAAAATGACAACAAAACCTATAATTCCCAATGACTATCAGGGTGTGGATAGAACTCTCACAAGCTTCCAAATGCCCCACTCCATGGCTCATGAATCTTGAATGACCTTGCATGTTGCGTTGTACCATAACTGTCATAAATTTGCAAAAACTCAGTTCGCCTAAGTCATTCGAACGAACATCATTATTGAGTCCATACTTCTGAGACTGTTTAAAGAAGAATATACAGAGTTTGCAGTGACAAAACTAATAAATTAAATTATCCCAAAGGAAAAGAGCTATCAGTTCTGAGACATATCTGATTTTTGGGGAACTTGGATTCACAGTTCTACAAGAGTGGAGATTCATGCCTTTCTCAACATCATCTAGCAAGGTTGGTTTAGTTGATGGGAGAGGGTTTGAGGCTCGAGAGGTTCTGTATGCATGGTATAGAGGGGCAGAAGGATAGGAGGTTGATGCAAAGCAGAAGTTGGAATTATGGTGGCAGGTGTGGGTGTGAGGGAGTTGTCATGCATTGAATGTGGTTGGAGAGAGGAGTTTGGGGAAGGGGGAGGATGATAGGGGATAATGGGGGTTTAATGAGCTTAGAATATTTGTGGAAAAGAGGGGCCAGAGGAATATGGGTTGATTTAGGATCAGAGGTTTGGAAACATAGGCAGTAGGAGCATTGAGATGCACAATTGTAGGAGGGCAGCAACGTTATGATCAACAAGGGAGTAGGGTGAGGATTAGAGGGACAAGTATAAGCACGTTGGGTGGAAAGAGATCGTAGGGTGTGAACAGAAGCAGAGGCAACCTAAAAGTTGTCATTGGGCTAGGGATCAGGGGTATCCACCCTCTCAACAAAGAAAGGAGGAAAGAAAAGGGAGGGACGGAAGAAGATCAAACGGAGTAGTATTGCCATAAGGGGGGTTAAGCGGATAGGTGCAATGGTTTAGAAGACTTGGAGGAGAAACACAGAGCCACAGCTTCCATGCCTGTTCAAAGCCTTCTCATACACATAATTAACACATTCAGCCTTCAAGTGACTGAGTAAGAACACATCCACAGTGATCCAGCTTGCCTATGACCAGGTTCAACCGGAGAAGACAGTGATCCCAAGTATTCACCCTCAATGTCAACTGAACTATTCCTTTTTTTCTTGTGGTAATCAATGTCAACCCAGTATTAATTTTCATAAGGAGAGCAGCAATGTACTTAGCTAATAATCCAGGGAATTGGAGTTTATCTCTGCAGACTGAAGCGGAAGTCACTGCATTTTCACATCCTTGTTTCTGTTACAATGTAAGAAAATCTACATGTTTTTTAAAACATAAATGCTACAATCTAGTTATTTATAATTCAAATAAATAAAAAAGGGAAGAGCTGCCCCTCTTAACGCTTCTTAGAGGTGCAGGAACCCTTCATCCAAGGCCTCCTCGATTGAGTAGGGATCTGGCGCAAGAACATCCATTAAACTTTTCTTATAGTATTTCTCCCCACTGTTCCCTGCAGCTGGCCTCTTCCTTTGGCCACTACCCTGGCAGCTATCTGGCTCGATTGAAATTCTAGATTTTCGACAGTAACGAAAACAGCAGGGGACGGTGAAGAACAAAACTAAATCAACAGTCACCTTTTGGGCCAGAAATCATAAGGACTTCATTGGCTGGCCTGCATCAGATTTTCTTAAAGTTGGGCTTTCATCATATATGCCACCATTTCTTTTGGCCTCTAAGTGCGTGAATAGGCTCACCAAAAAAGAAGAGATCACAAAAAGACAGAAAAGCTAGATAGACTTTAGAAGAGTAATTGAGATGAGGATGTGTGTGATAAACTGAAGAGACTTTGCAAGAATGCGGAGAGGAGCAATTGAGAGAGAGAGAAATAGAGAGATGGGGGAGAGAGGGAAGAGAGAGATTTCTTTGAAAGGGATTGTTGTAAATGCCTGGCAATAACCCCCATGGAGGTCCAGATATCCAACCTATGGCTGCCTCAGGTAACTGGTTCCATCAAGCTCAACTTCGATCATTTGCTCTATAGACAAACAGGTCCCAGCAGGTGTTAGAAGGATTTTCATATTGCATGTGCCTAATCTCTTGCTATCCTAGTCAAGCCCCACGGACACTGAGAACTCAACCAGCGTGGAGGCTGTGGCCTCACAGCGGGCTTCAATTCTTCAACTCCAACAGGAGCTACATGCTCGAAGTGGAAGAAGAACTCATTGTATGCCATTACATGGACCTCAAATGAAGAAGAACTACCCATGGCAGCTTGAACATTTGTTCAACAAAATCCTCAAGCTTTGCAGGGACCTGCAAGTTCCCTTCGAACATGTTTGGGGTGAGACAAACATTGCAGATGATACATTAGCTAAGACGGAGTGGCAGCCAGAGATTTTCTTGTGCTCAGGGCCCAGCCCCGCATCAAACTTTTTACGTCATTGCACAAATCGACTCTTGATACTTGTCCATTTTTTATGGCTACTGCTGTAATGGAACTATTTATACTCTTTACCATATTAAGACAAAGTCCAACTTTCTAAGGAAAAGAGACTTCTCTCACAAAAACAGTCCTAGTTATCCATAGCTACTCCTATGCATATGCAATTTAAATCACAAAAGATCTGCCAGAATATGAGTCATTTCTTCAGCATCATTGCAAGGTGCCAAAACGAGCCTTCAATTGAAACAACTGCTTGTATAGAAGACATTAATGTCATTTAAATTAAGCTATTGTTTTCTGGTTACTTTCCCAAAAAGGTATCAACCAGTACCAATGACATTCACTAGGTATCTCTAACAATCCTGCACATTGCAATAGTTCATAGATTCCCTGGTCACACCTGCTCAAATTAGTTTTCAAACAAACATTAGGGATAATTAACAGATTCCACTCAGAAGTTGAAAAACCCCTCGCGTGAAATTTTCCAGTCTCCCAGCAATTTACCAGTTCCCTGTAAACTTCCTCTATCAGTTACCATTATTCCATATGATAACATAACTTGAGAATTCTGTTCTATACCCATCCCTATTACCTATAAGAGGACAAAAGATCGACTTATCTATTTATTCCCATACTATCAATGGTGTTGAAGAAGAAGACCTTCTACAGCTTCTTGTCACTGCAAGTCATATCTTAATACATTCCACCTGTCTCTGAATTCCCGTGAACCTCAATACAGTTGATCATCTCTTTTGGAAATTGGGATGAACCCAGAATGGCAGTGGAAACACAAAAACAAGAGTATTGGATAGAAACCACATATCTTTTTGGATCCTCTCGTCCAGCTTATACGAACTTTTCCGTGTTTTCCTCCTCGAGAACGTCACCACCGATTTGAGAGTTCGATGTTGCAACCTCATGCCCACTCTCAATTACTAGAACCAAGAGAACTACATACACGGTTCAAATCCCCGAGCCCAATTGATGGAAGTAGCTCAGATAGATCCTATAAGAGCACTTTTTCTCTCTTGAGCCCTCTATGCTCAAGAGACCACCCAACCCCATCGTATACTACCACTGAACTCATCAAATAAAACATACTTCTCAAGCATGCCAAGAAATTCATTTGCAAAAATATTATATTATATTATTTTAGTTTTTGAAAAACACTTTGCAGAAGAACATCCAAGTAAAATGTATGTCATTGTACAGCTGATGCATTATGGAATATAATAATCTCTCTATGAACCATTTGGAGTATGATGCCAATGGTCTTACCCTAGCCCTACAATATTGACTTGACTGCTTTCCTAGTTTTGCCCCCGAAGCCACCATTTTGACTTGCCTGCTTTCCTAGATTTGCCCAACCCGACCGTATCATACATAGCTATGGATGAGCATGTTAAAGTAGCAACAATGTTATCAAATTCGGTTCGTTTCGACCGAAGAGGCCAACGCCTTCAGATTTTAGGAATAAACCGAGGAGAAGTGAAGCTTGGTGTTGTCGCTTCGGCCAGATTCGGACGCTTCGGGCTGCTTTGGTCAAATTCGGACCGCTTCAGGTATGCTTCGGGTCTGCTTTGGTCAGCAATGAAATAGCTATATAAATGTATTTTTTTTATTTTTTATTTTTTACATTAACTTTTCTATTCTTTTTGTTTATTTTATATAAAAACATCTAATTTATTTATATTAAATTTTAAAAAAGTCCGAAGTCTTCCCTCAAATTGGCCGAAGCACCGAATTGCTTCATTTTTCTGATCAAACCGAATAAGACTCTGAAGCAAATCTGACAACATTGAGTAGCGACACCAAGTCTGCACTTCCTAATATAATCACAAGGTCAATAAGAGCACTCAGGTCACCACGTGACTGGGCTATATCTCGCATGGTGTAATAGCGAATGGGGATCATCCTATACACCACTACCTCTATTGGTAGTAGTGGCCTCGCTAGGCACGTGTGATGTAAGTCACACGCAACGGTGTAAAATACATAAAGTACTATGATTTACGTCAGATTTACACCATGTAGGACCTAATTCAGTCACAGCCATGCATCCCATCGCATCCAATGTGTTCCCCATGGTCGGATCTAAGTAACTTGAACATCCCCGATGCTCACACGTGGCTATCATAAAGGCCACATGATCCAGTAGGATGAAAACATATATATGGATCATGTCAATTCCTAACCATGGAATCTCATCTCGATCTTATTATCAAGAAAAACTTACACCTAGTGTGTGTCTCATCCTCCAGTGTCCTCGACACGAGGGTGGTCATGCTGTGCGAGAAGTATACCCTAGCCTACCGACGATTTTTCTTTACAATGAATACTCGTCCTAGTGTGCAAGTGTGAATGTGCAATCAAAAACATGCGTGCATGTTAAACAAACCATAATACAATAAATCTTGCACATAAATGGTAAAAGCAAAATCAATATTCATGCATAAATAAGGAGTCTGACATGAGTCTGTTACATAATAAAAAAATAACCACAGGCATCTCAATTCCATTCCCTTGACATGAGCCCTATGCATCTCTCTAGTTATAAGCTTAGTAAAGAGATCCACAACCATCCTGCTCGTGGGAATATACCATATAAATATATCCTTTTTGTCAATGAAATCTCGCAAATAATGATACTTGATGTCGATGTGTTTTAATTTGTCTTACTGTGATTATTTGCCTTTGCAAAAGCCGGTGC